CGACCAAAGAGACATGAAGTACCGTGATTTCGGTGAGAATCAAGGGTGAAGGCATAACAAAACTAATTATGATGATTTTTATACCCTTCAACACTATGTGTTGGGGTATTATAAGTTTGATTGGGCCAGAATTTATGTAACACCTCAAAATATTGGTTTCCCACATAGGAAAGTATATATGGATCCTCCATCTCGCCGAGCTGTGTCAATCTAGCTATGTATGTCCGTCCGTTCGTCTGTCCGTCTGTCCATGTTAATTTGTAATCACTCTACAGGTCGCAGTTATGGCCTGATCTTCACGAAATTTAGAATGGAGGTGGGACAGGGGAGATGATAACATAATATTTAGGGGTTGAAATGGACCAAAAACTGAAAACTTTAATGATTTTGCAGTTGCTCTACAGGTCGCAATTATAGACCAATCGACAGAATTTAGCATGGTGCTAGATATTAGGGCTGGGAAGAAGACTTCCAATTTTGATGGTTATCGGTGTAGTGGGTGAAATAGACCAAAACATTTATGTTAAATAAAAGTCAAAATTTTCATTAAACTGGCAATATTTTTAATCCAAGCGAATTCACAAATAGACAAACAGGTCAATTCTAACCGTTACGTAGATGCCGATAGTAAATATATCAGATCTATTTAGCGAAATATATACAATGAGTATATACAAAGGAAGGGAACGTTATCTAGAATGCTCAAGAATGGCTGGACAGATTTTGACAAATGTTGTCAATTCAGAATGCCCTCCTGGCATAAAAGAATAAAATATAAGAAAATCGCATAAAAAGATATCAATAATGATGTTAATATAGATTTTGTTGTATTTTGTGACATTTTTTTTATTTTTTCATATTTTTCATTGCATGCAATTTTTTCAATTTGACTTATAATATTGAAGTATATATTTTGTAATATTTTTTCACCTTACAACGCAGGTTGGGGTTATTATAAACAGATTGCAATTATCGTCCGATCCTCACGAGGGTAAGTTTAGACCCAGAAGGGCTAGGCCTATTGTTTTCAAAGATATCCGCAATATATTTAGGGGTTGAAATGGACCAACAAATAAAAATGTTCCTGATTTTTCAGCCGTTAAAAAGGTTACAAATATAAACCTAAGCACACGAAATCTTGCATGAAATTAGAGTTTAGGACAACGGGTAGAATATAGCCAAATATCGTAGACAAGCAAATCATACAGATGAGTCTAAATTTGGAGATACAGAGGGGCCTCTTCCTTTTGGAGATGATCGCAAATTTTTGTGGTTCAAATGAAAAACAGAAACAATTTTCTGATTACACAATTGAAGCCAATCGACATGCCTGAGAAGAGAGTTAAAGACAGGAAAGAATTCCAGCATTTTGGATGACCATTGGAATATATTTAGCTGTAAAAAGGACCACAACAACTTGCAGCACGAGGGAGTGCGTAAATATTGGCCAAATGTTCCCGTTCAAAAAGCTAAGGGTAATATCTGGGAAGTGCTCTATGATATAATTTCAAAAGCGAAATCTTCCAAAATGGATTTGGACATAAGGGGGCTTCTAAAATATTGTAGGGTATAACATGGTCGGCCCCGCACGACTTTAGCCTTTGCTTGTTTTATTATATCACAAAAGAAAATTTCTGTCCATTTAAATTGCAAATACTAAGATAGGTACTAAAATAAAACAAACAATAAGCTCAATCTGGGAAGAAGATTAAAATGTTATAGTAATATTATAATGCAATAGAATTGAAGTTAATCTGACACTATTTATTTTAGGTTCAAAATATGGGTTTTCAAATTGATTAATTTTTGGGGATTTATTTAATGATAACAAATTGACCAGATTTTTCTAAGAACTATTGAAATGAACTTTAGTGAATATAATTTCATAGATATTAAAAAAATGAAAAAAATCAATATCTTCTTTCAGAAAATATTTTCCAAGCGATAAATATGTCAGCTATGAAAAAGCCAAAGAACGTGTCTCCTTAGTCCTGTTTAGTCATCATTTTTCCGAAAAACCTGTGCGTCCATTAGTACCTGGCATGATTGAAATTGGAGGCATTCATTTGGACGAAGAAACTAAACCATTACCCAAAGTAAGATCTATGCTAAAAATTACCCCAAGTTTCGTATTCATTTTCTATTTTCGTTTCCAGGACATTGAAGAATTTGTCAGTGCCGCTGAACATGGTGTGATATTCTTCAGTTTGGGCACAAATGTCAAAGCGAAACATCTCCAACCTCAGACATTGGAAAAAGTCTTCAATGTACTCTCGAAACTACCACAAAGGGTTTTATGGAAATGTGACGATGAATCGAATGTACCGGGAAATTCAACGAATATACTCTATCGAAAATGGCTGCCGCAAGCCGATATTTTGGGCCACCCCAAAACGGTGTTGTTCTTCTGTCACGGTGGCAAGGGAGGCATAACAGAGGCGAAATTTTATGGTGTTCCCATGGTCGGCTTACCGATATTCGGTGATCAACCCATGAATATGGAAGAAGTTGTAATGAAAGGTTATGGTCTGTCAATAGAGCACGACGAGTCGTTATCGGAGGAAGTGATCCGGAAAACAGTCAAAGAAGTTCTAGAAAATACATCGTATAGAAATAATGTCAGACAATTCTCGAATCTTTATCGTGATCGTCCTTTGAAAATCAAGGATAATGCCGTTTATTGGTTGGAATATGTAATTCGTTACAAAGGAGCTCCGCACATGCAAAGTCCATTGAAGACAATGTCGTTTGTAGAGGCCAACAATTTGGATGCCTACGCTTGTATACTTTTAGTGTTTTACATAATTGCTTTATTGGTTAAGCTCATTTTGAAACTAATTATTAACCTGGTATGCCGCAAATGCATGGGGAAATCGAAGAGAGATTAAATCCAATATTTGGAAAAATTTTTAGAGAATAATTTGATATAAATGTACATTATATTAATATTTTTTTGTTAGTTAATTCAAATATAAGTCAAGAAGCTCTGAACTGATTTTGAAAATTGCTTCCCATTCTGAATGACCTCTTGCCAGAAAAGGATAAATTCTATGAAAATCAAGTAAAAATATACCAAAGGTCTTTTCTAGAAATGCAAGAATCTAAAAGTTTTTACTACAATAACCGATTTTCTTTTTATGATATCGAAAAAAATTACCAAACCTAGGAGATTCTTGCAGGTTCTGAAACATAGCAAATATTAAATTTTACATTTTGGAATATTTTTTCATCCTAAAACACTATGTGTTGATGTTATTATATTCAGGTTGCAATTATCGTCCGATCCACACGAAATTTTCCATGATTGGGGTCAAAATTGAATCCTATTGCTTGCTATAATGGACCAAGAATATTGACTTTGCAGTCGCTTTGCAGATCACACTTAAAAACCAATCGACACGGAATTTTCCATGAGAAGGACCGGGCAAAAGTTTAGCATTTAAGATGATCATTACATTACAGGGTGAGATAAAAAAACTGCAACAATGTTATAACTTTCATATATTTTTTTACATTTTATTGAATGAAAGCAAAAAAATTCGGAAATAGCATCAGATTTTAGAATGAGTTTAGATTTGTTCGAATTGGTTACCTTTGACCCGAATTATGGCCTTCAAAAGGCCAATGAAACCGTCACATGCTGCTCGAATGTTGCTCTGCGGTATTCCGGCCCATTCCCGGCGAAGCGCTTGCTTGTGGTGATCGACACTTTGGTATTTTTTAGTGCCAACCTTGCTTTCCAAAATACTCCAGACACAATAGTCCAACGGATTGGTATCCAGAGATTTTGATGGCCATTGTGCGCTGGAAATGAAGCGAGGGAACTCATTTTGTAACCATTCTTGGGTGGCGCGTTCTGAGTGCGATGGTCCTGTTGGAATGTTCAAGGACTGTGGCCAAAATGTATGCGTGCCCAGGATTTTAATACACCGTTCAAAATACTTTCGCGATGATATTCGGCATTTATTCTTACGGTCGATTAATTAGAGCGGGGAGCGACCATCGGCTGTTATGGTTTCCCACACCATCACCATGCTGATCGCTTGAGTTCTGGTGGCCAACCGAAGGTGCACATTTTTAGCTGATCTTTTTGGTAAGTAAACCGATCATTTTGTTTGTTTACAAACTGCGGGACAACGAATGTTTTCTCATCGGAGAAAACCAAATTCGGCAGTTCACCACTTTCGGTCAAGCGAAGCAACTCCTTACCTCTTTTGAGTCTATTTTCTTTCCATTGCGGCATAAGTTTTTGCACTTTTTGGAATTTCAATGGCTTTATATTTAATTATGAAATATTGTGATATGCTCACGAGCCATTCTCGGCCATTGTGACGCAGGTTTCGATCAAATCGCTTCTTTATATTTCTAACCATTTCTGCTGATGTTGCTGTTTTCTTCCATCCACTTCCTTGACATCGTGCTAGCTACCTGTATCACACATTTAAATGCTGGAGTGCTCTAACGATAGCTACTTGTGGTTTTCCAGCCAAATATAAAGAAATCACACTATCACGCTTAAATTCCACAACGAATAAATTTTTTCTGGAAAATTCTCACCAAAATGCTTTTGTACCTTTGTAAATAATATAATGAGCTGTCACTGGAATAATTTTAACAGCTGTCGGACAAGTGGCTTAGAAATGACAGCAGTCTGGTTGCAGTTTTTTCATCTCACGCTCATCCGTTTAGCCCAATGGCATCATACTCTTTCCAACATTTCGGTCGGTATCTAAAGAGTCATTGCTTCAATGTTGTCTTCCAATACTTCAAATGACGTATTGGAAGGCTGGTCTGTGTAGACATAAGCGTCAACATAGTCCCATAAAAAGTAATTTCTAAAGGGATTAAATCTCACGATATATCGGCCAGTAACCAACCCCGAATGTGAAAGAAAATGTTCACCAAACTCACCTTTCCATTATTACATGTGACATCATTTTTTGTAACCAAATGTCATTCTAAAGATTCCAACCACAATTTCCAACCAAATAATCAGTATTTTTATATTCCAAACTTCAAAATTTGATAATTTTATTGCTTATTCCTGAAATTTATAACGGATATTTCCTAATTAAATTTTATATATTTAATGAATTTCATTTCTTATTCATATGTAATGCCCTCTTTAACTCGGTGGAGGCTTTTCCAACATATTCACCAGCTGTCAACACCTGTTTGCCAACAAAGTGCTACATTAGAAAAAAATGAGAAAAGCACTTCAGTTTTGTCATCTATCAGCCAAAAAATATGTTGTTCCAATAAAAAAAAACGAAAACTTACTGCATTTCTTGCAAGAGATGCAAGAGTACGACTACCTGATGCTGCCATGAAACCACTAAGTACCAAAACTAAAAATAATAAATTAAACTTCATTTTAAGTTTCACGTTCTCTGTTAGGTATTCTCTATTAAACACACACACACGTTCGATGTTTGTATGAAGACTAATAATTAATTGATATTTTTCAATAGCTTTTATAGGCAATTGCAATGTGGTTAAGAGTATTTATTTTAATAGCAATATTGAATCATTATCCATTTAAAATGTATTGAGTTAAATAAATGCAAATAATGATATACATGTAATATAAGAATTAAAAGATTGCGATACCATAATAGGAGAAATCTTGTATGGGATGAATAAAACAATTTATATAAAGATTTTCGGGCGAATCACAAAAAAAGTTAACATTTTTCTACAATTTACAGGATTCTAAAATAAAAAACAATTTTATCGGAACAACAAATACATATTACGATTTCCGGAATTTAAACAAATGTTTCTTTGAAAAATTTTACTTCAATTGGATAGATATTATAATTGCGGACAAATATGGTCCATCTTCGATAGAGCCGAGTTTGGATACTTCCTTTTGGAATAATCTAAGCCAGTTAAAAAGGCAGATGTAAATATTTTGAAACGGAATTCGGAATACTTTTAATATAAATGTCTTCTATATTTATAATAGATGAAAATGTTTGTACGTTTGATTGTTTATTTGTAATTTATAGACTCAAAAAGTGTTAAGCAGCTTTTCCTGAAAATTTCCATAACACTACAGTATCGCCTGAAAGTAACATAGGAGGTAGTAACATAGGTGGCCGGAGGTACATCCAGAAGATTTAGTTTTTGAATGCACATATATATTTATCGATTTTAGATGCAGTCTCCAAATTTCAAATGCGTAACGGAATTTGAAACAAAAATAAATTTGCCAAATTATACTGAAATCGGCTCAGATTTGGATATACACTGGTGGCCAAAACTAAAGCAACTAAAATCGCAAAGACAATAAATGTCCTGTAACTTTTACAAAAATAAACAAAACGTAATTATTTTTCCAGTTTTAAATGAGGTCTTTAACTCACTTTTAAGAAACTAAAAATAAAAATTCAAAAATAATTTTGAACGAAATATAATATATGGAAAACTAAAATGACCTAATTTTTGCTTGGTCAAAACTAAAGCAACTTTTAGATTTTTTATTTTAAAATAATTAAATTTTGGCTAGTAGTCGATAGCATCCATTATTTTTCATAGCAGCTGCACACCTACGAGGCATAGAATCTATAACACGCTCAATTTGATCCTTGGGTATGCTTTCTCAGGCACCCCGAATTCTTTGTTTCCGAATCTCGCTTGATCTTCCTGTCTACGATACTCCAAAGGCTTTCTATGGAGTTTATGTCAGGTGATTGTGCCGGCCATGACAAAACATCGATTTTTGACTCCCGCAACCAATATATGGCAAGTTTTGATGCAAGTTTGGGATCATTGTCATGCTGAAACACCCAAATGAGCCGAATATTTTACTCAGGGTAAGGGAACAACGTGATGTCCAACACTTCTTTGTAAACAAACCGATCCATAACTTCCTTTCTTTCATGGAAAGGCCCAAGTCCATAGAAAGAAAAACAGCGCCACGCCATTTTTGACCCTCCCTCATGCTTCACTGTACTTTTGCAACACTGCGGCCTGAGTCTTTAATTTTTTGGTCTTCTCACTATAAAATTTTTTACGTCTGAGCTTTTAATATTAAACGTAGACTCATCCCAGAAATTATGTTTTTCCATTGAGCTGGATTCCACTTAATATTAGCGTTTCCGAAAGCCTTTTTGATTTTTTAGATATAAATGGCTTTTTTGATGTCTTACGGGCATGCAGACCAGCTACCACTATTAGCATAGACAAATTAGGTATAGACTAAAAAGTTGTCTCATCAGTTATCTCTGAAAAAAGTGTTTCATTAGATGTCGTTCATGCTGTGAGAGAGGTTCAGTAGACTCGCTCAATTCTCTCAAAATACAAAATATTAAATATTTTTATGATTCTTTATTATTTATCAACTAAAAACGAAACGTCGACTTTGTTTACTTTTACATTATACAAATATGTCGTGAAATATAAAAATATAGAACTTAAATAGCAGAAAAATTAATGAATTGTTTTCGAAGTCGAGTGACTTCGCTAGCCCTGAGTGACTTGACTGGCCCAAGATCAACAATAGTGACATCTGCCGGAAGGGAAAATTTTAAAACTTTTTAGTCTATACCTTTATTTGTCTATGCTATTAGTCTACGCACTGATCTCGAGCTTATATCCAATGATTGCTCTCTCACCAATCCAGTTGAACTCTTAAATTAGTTTTTTTTTATTTTTCTCACAATTTGTTGATCAGTACGTGCTGAAGTTTTTCACGACCTTCATCCAGTTTAATAAAACTGATCCAGTTTAATAAAACCGACTTAGTATACAGAAATATTTATGAAATCACATAAATATTTATGAAATATTTCTCGGAAATCATTTTCTGCGATATGTTGTTTTTATAGTCACTGATAATTTGCAGTTTAATTCATGTACTGTGTTTGCTTTTATCCATTTTTAAAGTTTTTTGGGCAGTACTTAAAAAACGAAAAGAAAAACACATGCTGTTGTAAAAAACTTCTGAAAAAGGATTTATGACAAGCGAAATTGTCGAAGGAAGCAAAAAGCAATAACTATAACAGTAAAAACAACTGAAATTACAGCGGTCATATGAATGTACAACAGAGTTGATTTTGTTTTGTCCAAGCCAAAATTGGGTTAATTGACTTTACCATACATTAATTTTTATATAAAAATGAATTTTGGTTTTTTGTTTTAGGTTTTTAAAAAGTGGATAAAATACTTAATTTAAAGCAAGAAAAACTTTCTCATTTTCTTAATTTTTAAAATGTTACAGGGCATTCATTCTCCTTGTGATTTCAGTTGCTTTAGTTTTGGCCACCAGTGTAGCTCTCATACATATTTTCGGCCGATTTCATGAATTTGATGCCCTAAACACCCTCTGCACGCCACATTTAAAAGTGGGCCTTGAGCAATGAATATATAGACCACGGAATTCTCTCACAACCTATCATATAAAAAACGAGTATGAGTGAATATGTTGAAGACATCCAAATCTAAAATATTTAAAATATTTACCACTGTAAGAGATTTATGAACTTGAAATTGTGAATTGGAATCGAAAACCTACCAACTACATAGCGATATGAAAAAATACTGAGTTAATTGTAGTTTTTGCAAATAAAATAAATATGTGTTTGTTTTCTCTTTCGAGACGAGCTTAATGATCTGAAATTTGCAGTGAAAAGGAAAGCCAGATAGACACTATCATACACTCACCACTATGCGACGCGTTTCGCCGTGTGTGTGAGTGTGTGATAGTGTCTATCTGGCTTTCCTTTTCACTGCAAATTTCAGATCATTAAGCTCGTCTCGAAAGAGAAAACAAACACATAAATCATAAAACATATGATCTTCGCCTTAACAAGGCAAAACTCAAAAATTCAGCCGAGCCTGGCTGTGGGATTTGAACCGCGGACCTCGGTGTGCAGCCAACTAGAAGTTGCCGTCTCTACGTTCAGAGCCATTACCCCGTCTTCCTAAAGCAGCACTAAAACAAGTGTATGCATTGGAAGCAATGTAGTTGTTGTGGACAAAAAATCCATCACTACAAAAACAAAACTTTGCTGTGAAAAAGATCTGCCAATAGAACTTGAGTCGAACCTGGAGAGTTTCTAGTGTATAATTCGCATATGCTAATTTGCAATAAGTTCGAAATATATACTACTTTCCAGAGAACGGCCCTTGTAAGCCATCATCCACACCAAATATGCCTGATGAGCCGATTAACCAACGGCGAAACGCGTCGCATAGTGGTGAGTGTGTGATAGTGTCTATCTGGCTTTCCTTTTCACTGCAAATTTCAGATCATTAAGCTCGTCTCGAAAGAGAAAACAAACACATAAATCATAAAACATATGATCTTCGCCTTAACAAGGCAAAACTCTAAAATAAATATGTTTTCGAAGTCGAGTAAATCGATCATGCGACAGTTAGTAACCGATATTGCAAACTTTAGTTATCTATATTTCCATTTGTCTATATTCATAAGTTGATGTAGTGGAGGGTATAACAAGTAAAAATGCTAGACTTCTTCCCTGTACTTAACTCTCTTCTCATTCAAAATTCATTGTCGATTGGTTTTTAATTGTGACCTCTAGAGCGTCTGCAAAATCAGGAAAACTTTAATTTGTTGGTCCATTTGAACCCCTAAATGAACATATTCAAACACAATAGGTTTTAATTCTAACCGCAACCACATGCACAATTTCGTGAGCATCGCACGGTAATTGCGATCTGTATATAAAAGCCTCACCTCATAGTGTTGCAGGGTGTAGAAAAACTTTAGAAAATGTACAACTCAAAATTGTGAGCCAAATATAAAAAAAAAAAAATGAAAAATACTAACTTTTTTATTGTTATATTTTTACGCGATATCTTGGCTAATAGTATCACTGTAATGGTCAGAAGTGTATTTTTAAGGTATTTGTGGTTTGGCCGGGATTAAAAATATTCGCGGTTTAGTGGAAATTTTCGTAGTTTTGTTATAAAGTTATGATTTATTTTACCCGCTAAATATTGTCCGATTACCATCCAAATTGGTTAACTTCTGTCCAGCCCTGAACTCTAACCTCATGCAAATTTCCCCGTCGATTGGTTTATAATTGTGGCCTATAGAGCAATGGCAATCCATTCAATCTATTTAAACACCTAAATATTTTGCGATTATCTCAAAAAACAATAGGGTTTTATTCTGACCCTAACCCCACCTCCATTTTCAATTTCATGAGGATCGAACCTCAATTGCGACCTGTAGCGTGATTATAAGTTAATATGGACAGACGGACAGGCGCACAGAAGAATGGACGGACATACATAGCTAGACCGACTCAGCTCGACGAGATAGGAAGATCCATATATAGTTTTCGATATTGGAAACAATTATTTCGAGGTGTTACATAATTTTTGACCCAATCAAACCTATAATACCTCCAATACATAGTGTTGTAGAGTATGAAAATACTGCAATAAT